TCCGCACAGGCACACCAGTTGGGATAGGGATAGGGGATATTTTCAGTTTAACCGGGGAGCTCGGATGCGGCGCCTTGCATGCTGATTTAGGTGTTTTAAGGCCGCAAATGCGACGCTGGTCGCTGTCACTCTTGCAGATCATGGCGAAGCTTTTCGGTAATGCTCGTTTATTAGACGCCTAATGTGGTATCCAGGGCAGATATCGATACTTAGGAGGTGGGTAGGTCGTTATGGGTACATGTTGCCCCATCGAGGCGTATTCTTCCGTTAAGGCTATTGATAATTCCGTATGGCCTCGTTCATCGTGCATTTATTTAGTCACGGGCAGAAAGAAGAATAGCCGTTGACGGACAAGATTTACATGGAGGAAATAATAGTAATAGCCCTGAGAGAAAACCTTTGTTTTCTTGAGGGTGCTTGTAGATAGATTATCAGGGAAATAATCCAGGCTAGAAAATCTCGAATGCCTTCATGGCCGGCACACTAACCTAACAGAATAAGAGGTGACTGTGACGTCTAACTATCGTCACAATTTCGCTTTAGGCAATTAGTAACCAATTCCATAACAAAACAGATTGGATACTGGACAAAGAGATACAAAGGCATATTATATAGGTACCTATACTATATATCATTAATCCTGGTCTTGGCATTTGATATCGTACAGTAAGTAACTCCTCGGTGGCCGGTCGTATCGCAACCCCCCTGTTACATGCCCCCCTATTGTATTCCTATAGACCCCTATACTACCATTACCACTTTCAAAATCCCATTGGCGAAACCCCCGGGCTGGACAATTCGAGGTTGATAGTCGTGATAAGAGGCCTACACACATCCTATCGTATACCTCCGTCACGGTAGCAACGAGGTTATCTTTCCCTCATCAAAGGTCCTGATTATCGCTGTAAGGTAGCCATACAAAGAGCGCGGCGATATCAACACACGCTCCTATGAATCCCATCCGCCAACCTCGCCGCTTTCCCCTCAAGTACCTTCGCCGACTCCTTCGTCACACCTTCTCCTTTCTTCAGCACCTCCTCCTTCTCCGTCCGCGGCCTGCTATCCCCAGCCGGCTTCTGCTTCTGCAGGATCGACAAGTCGACCTCGTCGTTATCAATCAGCGTCTGGGTGACGGACACCAGGTCCGAAATGAGGCGGTCTAGCAAATCCAGACTCATGGACTCGCGGACCACGACGCGCAGGATCTCGGTGCCGTCCTCGCCCGGCGGCAGCGCGTAGTTGGGTATTATCCACTGCCGCGCGCGCATCAGCAGCGACACCCACTCCTGCCGCACGTGCGGGAACTCCCGGCGGAACTCGTCCGCGAGCCGGAACGAGACGACCGGCAAGCCCGCCACGTAATCGGCCGAGGTCTCGCCTTCCTCTCCCAGAACGGCGTGCTTGGCGTCCGAGACCACGCTGCTCGAGGACGACGGCCGCCGGTGGATGTCGGACACGCAAGTGTACCAACCCGTGGCCTCGAGGCTCTTGGACAGCAGGCGCGCGTTGCGCAGGCAGTTCTCCATGATCTCGCGGTAGCCCTCGAAGCCGAGGTGGATGAGGTTGTAGTACTGGACGATAACCTGGGCGCCGGGCCGCGAGAAGTTCAGGGTGAAGGACTTCTCCGTGCCGCCGAGATAGTGCAGCTCGAAGATGAGGTGCTGCGGCAGGTACGACTCGTCCCGCCAGACGATCCAGCCGACGCCCGCGTAGACTAGGCCGTACTTGTGGCCGGATGTGTTGATGGATTTGACGCGGGGGAGGTCGAAGTTCCTTAGCGTAGATGTTTAGTATGATTTCTTTTATAAGAAGGGGGGGGGGGCGTTAGTTTCACTTACCATTTCGGCCCGCCGGCTTGCGCGTGAGTGAACGGCGCAACGAAGCCGCCGGAAGCTGCGTCAACGTGAATTGGGATGTCGATCCCCGTCTTCTCCTCGTACTCGTCGAGGATTTTAGAGATCTCCTCCACCGGCTCGTAGTGGCCAGTATACGTGCTTCCCATAATCACGAATACACCGATAGTATTTTCGTCGACGTTCTCCCGGACGAGGTTCGGGTCCAGTCGATAATTACTCTCTTTGGAGACAGGGAGAATGCGTGCCTCGACGTCAAAGTAGCGCGCAAACTTCTCGAGGGCCACCTGCGCATTTGCGCCCATGATTATATTCGGGTTAGAAGTGTCTAAGCCCTTGGCCTTGCGGTGTTCCTGCCAGCGACGCTTCATCGCCAAGCCCCCGAGATGAATTGCTTCTGAAGAGCCGGTGGTCGCGGTACCGATAGCTTTTTCACCTTTCTTTGCTCCCCATAAATGAGCGAGGATACTAACGCAGCGCTCATGAAGAGACATCATCGCCGGGTACTCGTCATTGTCCGCTAGGTTCTTGGACAAGTTTTCCGTCATCAGCTGGGTAGCATTTGGTTCCATGTAAGTCCCAACGAAGCTATTATCGCGTTAATATTTTCCATACCTTAGTTCAAAGAGAATTGGCCAGACCTACCTAGCTAGGTTTAGATTCGGCTTGCCGTCTAAATCCAGCTCATCGTGGATCAGCTGATATACGGTATCCGAGGGTGTTCCCTCTTTAGGGATTTGATACTTCGGTGCCTCCGACTCGCTCGCATACTTGGTGCCATAAGGCGTTAGATGCGAAGTGGCCATTTTCTGGCGTAGCCGTCGGCCATTCTCTGTGAGGTTGGCGCCTTGAAGACGCTCAATGAGGTCCTCTGGGTCAATCTGGAAGATAGTTAGTTGAATGATAAAATTTGCAAGAATTTATATCTTGTGTACTTACATGACGGGCTAGCGGCATGGTTTATTTAAATTTCTTGTCGAATATTAATTGCCGGTTTGCTACTTGGATTGTTGATGGTTGATGATAGGAACTGAAAGCCAAGACCTTCGTAAAACCCCTATTTATGCCCAAGAAGAAACATTTACTAACAATCTAATTTCCACCATAGCTTAAATCTTGCTTACTGACGGAATTTTCCATCAGGATGACTCTGTTATCCATTGTCAAAGCCTTGAAAGTGCAAAATTGTGCTGGCAAGTTGGCTAAACCTATGACGAAAATGACGTAATTACCCCTTAAAAGGGCCAAGTTTGCTCCATTTCTCCTCGAAGTCCCCAAACCAACGTGCTTTTACTTCTTAACCTTGTGCAACTTCATGATTTATCTTCAACGCGTATTAGATAATATCATAGGCCACACGTGTCTTGATAGATACCAGGTAACCTACCTTGTACCTAAAAACGGATATAAACACAATGCCACGTGCTGACGTAACTGGACGTTTGGTCGCAACCAATACCCGAAAAAGCATCTGCGGGGTCCAATGACAACTCTCGAATTCTTTCTGCTTTGTAGACGATACTATATCGATTTTAGAGACTGTTTTAAAGCCTGTTAGATAAAGTTAGCGCACGATATTAACTTGTTAGGTACCTTACGTATGTTGAACCTATACAGTAAAGGCAATATGAGTACTACTACAGATCAGTCGAATGAGTCCCTGCCAGACTTACCTCTACCGGAAGGTATTGTCTCAGACTATATTGACTGCTCCGCATCGTGCGGTCTTACATGGCACGTGCTAAAAGCCGGAGAACCCGGGAAGCCCCTCGTGCTCTTCTGCCACGGGTATCCCGAGCTTGCGTACTCGTGGCGCAAAATACTGCCGGCAATCGCCAAGGCAGGATACTACTGCGTTGCCATGGACCAGCGCGGTTATGGGCGTACCAAAGGGTGGCCGCGGCGACAGCCGTTCGAGGAAGTCGACCTCAACGACTTCGTCTTCACGAACCTAGTGCGTGACCTCGTGTGTCTGGTATACGGCCTAGGGTACAAAACCGTACACAGCATCATCGGGCACGACTTCGGCGGCGTGAGTTCCGCCATGGCCGCGCTCATGCGCCCGGACATCTTCCTGTCAACCGTGCAAATGAGCCATCCGCACCACCGGCCCGCGGAGCCAGTAACACCTTCTCCCGACGAAAAGGAAGGAGCAAGGAAGAAGATAGACATCCAAGCCGAGTTAGCAAAACTAAACCCGCCGAGGAAGCACTACAAGTGGTACAACTCGAGCCCGCAAGCGGCCCGAGACTGGGAGAACCCGGCGCAGGGCCTCGAGGCGTTCCTCCGGGGGTACTTCCACCTGAAGTCGGCGGACTGGGAGGCGAACAAGCCGCGGCCCCTAGCGAAGTGGGGCGCCGAGGAGCTAGCCCCGATGCCCGAATACTACATCATGCGGGCGGAGCACTCGATGCCGGAGACGGTGGCGACCAACATGGCGGGCGAGGACTTCGCCAAGACGGAGCGGTGGCTCCCGCGGGACGCCCTGCAGGTGTACTGCGGCGAGTGGGCGCGCACGGGCTTCCAGGGCGCGCTGAACTGGTACCGCGCGCAGACGGCGTCGACGAAGCAGTCGGCGCGGGACATGTTTCTCTTCTCGGGCCGCAGGATCGAGGTCCCGTGCGTGTTCATCAGTGGGAAGCAGGACTGGGGTAATTACCAGCAGCCGGGCGCGCTGGAGGGGTACGAGGACCCGAGGGCTTTGAAGGAGGGGTGTTTTAGGGGAGCGAAGTTCGTGGATGGGGCTGGGCATTGGGTGCAGCAGGAACAGCCTGAGGTTGTGATTAAGGAGATATTGGCATTTTTCGATACTCTATAGCTAGTAGAGGTATGTACCTAGGTATGTAAGGGAGTTAGTAAACCTATTTGGCAAAACACACTTGTTTGTCTGCTGTTTGTCTGAATTCTTGTAAGAACTCTGGTGGCTTAGGCATCCATATCTTCGGCGGTAGCGTGGTGATATTAATTAAATAGGTGTGTGTAAAAGTGTGAAAAAGACACGCCATGGAAGCTCTGAAAGGATCATGTATGTTAATGTACAATGCGAGAGGAAGGAAAGTAGAATCATGGTGAAAGTGCAAGAGCGAGGAGACGGAAGGTGACGGGACAAAATGATGGAAGAGAAAAAGGAATAGAAAAAAAAAATTACACCACACCCCGGACTCGAACCGGGAATCTTCGGCTGCTATAGACTCTATTTTCCAGAAGGATAATAGGAGGCCGACGAGTTAACCATTTCTCTAGTGCGGCGTTGTTGTAGCTTCGCCACTCGACCATCTTAAACTCCATTTCAACGGTAAGAACGATCATTATTCAGCTATATCACCCAAAGACAAGTCATGGGTACATGCCACTTGGCAACGACGACGTGCCAGGCCGCATCTCTACGCGGCACGACAGACAATATCTAGGGGGGTACCTGCCTAACTGCACCTACCCGCACACAAGTTACTCCACATTGGTTAATTGGTCTTCCAATAAGACGCCCCTGATTGCCTTCAGTTTAGTTTCGAAATGAATGCCTGGTACAGTATCTGATTATTGAACAAAAAGCAAACGGTAGCTGCATATAGTAGCACTTTCTCTGAGGTCCTAGGTCCAAGCTTCCACACTGTCAGAACATACACTTGTGACTTTTCTCACTTACATAGATCATGCTGCTGCCTAAGTTACAATAATGATGAGTGATATCTTAAAGGTACTTTGAATTTCGAAAAAAAGTTTAGGTACCTAGGTACTTAGTCACATCCATAAAGGGGGAGTTTAGACTTGGGCAAAAGCGATTTAAGAGTTGTGCCTGAACTATTAACTCTTTGTGAATTTGTGAATCTAGCCTGTTTATCCCGTTCTAACTCAATCAACTACCTCTTCAGTTGAAATAACTAAGGTAGTTACTAATAAGACTTGTTAGTTATTTTAGTTAAAATGGTTCTTACAATAAGTACCTAATCTAAAGGCAGTAGTTTTCTGGTCGTCATTCTATTTTGGCAACATCGATTGAAAATTACAATTTAATTCTATAATTCTAGTTTAGAACCATCTGATGAGGTTTTAAACTCTAGAACAGGTTCCTAGCGGATAATAGCATTGGCACTACGCTTCAGAGTATTTACAACTCTGCTTTATTCTAAGTACTACCTAAGCCCTTAATAGACCGGCACACCTCCCGGAAGCTCGTTGATCCATTTTCCAGTCTGTCCAACATCCTCAACAACCTGCTGAGCCTTCTTGCACTTCATAGCGTCCGCAGCGGATTGTATTTTAAGAACGCGGCAGTTAGCATTGGCGCAGTTCCCGGTAGGTAGCGCGTCCATGGCCTTCTGCAAGGCGTCGTCCTTCCATCCGAAGAGGTAATCGCCGTGCTGGCCGTATCCGGTGCTGGCATTATCGTTAGTAACTAACCTAGGTACATAAGGTAGCATACGTGATCGTCTTGGAAAGGGGTAACCGTACGAGTCTCCGAAGCTGTAGACGAACGGCTGCTTGCCGTTTCCGTACCAAGCGGCGTTGCTATACCTTCCGGTGTCCCACATCACTTCGTACATCACCTGCGGAATGGCAACCGGGTGCGTGGAAGGACAGTTCGGGCTACCGAGACCACCACCGTTAGAGTAGGCTACGTGCGTCTTATGGTCGGGCGAGTCGAGGTTCTTTCCGTCTAGTATGAGAAAGTATCTCGTGTTAGCGTCACAATCGTACTATTCTAGAGTCTTTACCGCTCCTTATCGAGAGCCACCGCACTTACTACTAAACGTTAGCAACCACATCTTATGAAGTTTACGGTCATTCTAGAATGACCTGAGATAAAAAGGGTTTTCTCTTATACATACCCCCAACACGAAGGGAAAATAATGCTCGCGCGAATGCCCTGCGGGCAATACTTAGTCGGCAGCTCGGCCGTGTCCCTGCCGTCGCAGGGGGCGAAGCCTTCGCCGTTGCCGAGGCAGCGGTGGCAGATGGAGGGCTTGTAGATGTTCTTGGTGTTGGTGGGGTCGCCGGCGAGCATGCGGAAGCCGGGTTTGAAGGCGGTCACCTTGCCGTTCTTGGCGCTGTAGGGCATGTAGTACACCGTCATGCCGCCGTCCTGCTGGATCCCGAAGTTGGCGTACTGCGGCACCCGCTGGAACGTCCCGTTCTCCGGCGACCGAAAGTACAGCGACGCCGTCCAGTAGTTGCTGAAGTCTTCCGAGTAGGTGCACGACGTGCAGGTGGACAGGCTGGGCGGGTCGTATTCGGCTGGCGTCATCTGGGATTAGGTTAGGTATCTATGTCAGCGGTAGTTTTTCGATCAGATTCGTGTGGACTTAGCTACCGTAAGATTGAACGAGTTCCCTCCGATGATCTGGTGTGTGTGCGGAGAGGGGTTTTGACCGGGAGAGACTAGAGGGTCAGCGCGTTCGATGGTGAGCTGCGAGCAGCCGAAACGAAGCATATTTTGCGCAGAGGCCTGCTGGCCCAGGAGGGCGGCGAGGATGAGAAAGCTCCAAGACATGGTGAAGTGCTTTGGCGTGAAGTTTCAGAGTGTGTCTACGTGACGATGCATAGTGTACCCGGTCCTGCTGCCTTCTTAAATAAACAAACAAACAGCGATCGGACTCCGCAGGCCGAGCTGTAAATTAAAACCTGGGCTGCCCGTTAGAAATCCTTGGTATTCATAACTGCCGGTAAAGTCCTTTTAGCCGGAGACGACAACCAGCCAACTGGAGTGTTGAGGTTTAAAGGCACACTATTTAAAGTTGCCACATGCTTGTTATAAGACAGTCAATTATACGTAACCACGGAAGGATATCTTCGGATCGTTACATTTTAAATCGCAACATTTTCTATGCCGCATACCTACCTACCTAATATCTAGGTTAGCATTTTACCTATATATAAACTGCCATTTAGAAGGCCGGTAGGTAATGCTGGTCATGTTATACAATCTGACAAGGGTGCCACGATGCAACAGTCTATTATCGGGCCATAGGCCAAAAATAAGGGGGGAAATGGTTCGAACCACACGTGCTGACTAAAGTAAATGAAATGGTTGAGCTGGCGTTTCAATTTACGAGTAAACTTCGGGGTAGTATGTATATTGGTGATATAATAATATTTGGTCTTCTGCCGGAGCTGGCTACGCCTTATATAGTCACTATATCCCTATATCCCCACATACCCCTGGAAATCCTGACTGTTACTCAACTGCGTCACTGACCTGTCGGGTGAAACGAATTGAGCTAGGCCACTGCCCGTTGTCTGAAATTGACGCCATGTTCAGTAAGGATATCTCGTCTTGAAAGGCCGCCCGTACGTATCGAGTAGGTCGCGGGCTCGTCAAGAGTAACTTGATTACTGGGGCAATGCAGTGCTCTTCGTCTTCAACCAAGTCCAGGATATAGTCTAATATATCCTCCATATCGTCTTTATACTGCTCTCTTTCGTAGAACCCAATACCATCCAAGATGCAGAAGACTGTAACTGTCGAAGGCAGTTGTCGGATAAGATAGCCGAACAACTTGCAAAGCTCTTGGATATCTCCCCTCCACACCCCTTGCATGGAAACATGCTGTGCAAGGTCGCCTAGGGAGCAAGGGTTTTGCTGTAAGAGCTGTCCGACGAGACTTCGGATCATGGCCAGGGGCCCTGGATTTTCATCACCGTCAAGGTGTTGCCCGCAGAAGAATACTAGAGTTATAAAGTTTCTCTGGATGCGTAAGATTCCCATCAGCGATGAGCAGAGTACGGAGAATGGGGAAACTCTATCGTTGAACTCATAGTCTCCGTGTACTAGAAGCTTCATGGTAGATCCTGAGAGATTGTCGCTCGGGCGGTGGCGAACCCATTGATTGTTTTGGCATATCCAATCTTTATCGGAAAGCATCCACAACTTGTTCGGCTCGGCCCCTGTCCTCAAAGGGAAGCCTTCCGGCCTGTTTCATGATATATTCATGGTCAATACTGTCAATCTCTGGTACCTGAAGCGTTTCCCAGAGTTCTTCTGGGCTTTGAACTTGGGGTGCCATTAGCTGTGGGCTGCAACTACGCGATCGGTTCAGTACCAGATCTGCTCTTAGGGCATCCTGTTGTTGTTTCATATCTGATTAAGAGTTATTATCCTCTATAAACTCTTACTCGTTAGATATTATCGTATGACACACCTTGGAGCTGCATATAGATTTGGATAAGCCAATAAAACCCATTGACAGCTTCGAGTTGAATGAACCCCTGTGTTCTTCTATGCTCTTCTTGGTTCTGCTGATATAATGCAGCATGCTCTAAATGATGCTGTTGATGAGCAAGGTCGTTATGATACTTGTGCGATCTTTCTCCCTGTTTTTCTAGTTCGTTGATGCAGCTTTTGACTTCGCTGAGTCTGTCTCTAAGTTCTTTTTGGTACTCCGGGCCTTTGAAAACCGCTGATGTAGCTCGCGATACTATTCATTAATGTTAGAGCATCATAATACATATAGTCCTTACTCCAAGTAAGCACGTTGAAAATGACTTACTCTGGTGGCTTATGTAAAAGCCTATAGCCTACTCAACTGCTTTCAATATCTCAAGGACAACTTTCTTCGCCGCCTCAACCACGTTCTGATCGTTGGGGAACATCGTCACATAAAAGTCAATAGTGTTAAATCCATCACCCATATCATCAAAGTTCGTGCCGATTTCTTCACGAACGTCTGCTGCCTTTCGATATGCCTGGTAATGTCAGCATTCTATTGGATAAGGCATGTATTTGGAAATTAATAGTGGGCACCCTACGGCAAGAAGCACTTTGACGGCTCCTACGATTGGAGAGGCTATTTCAATGTCTGGGACGAACTGGGCCGCCTGTCCTAGGGGACCTGCACTCCGATCTAACACCTTCCTAGCCCCTTGCCTTATCGTGTTTCTAAAACCAGGACTTGCGCCTTTGGCTTTGTTTTCGTATTCATAACATTTCCTAGCAAGCTCTAGCTTTTCATGTATGTCTTTCCAGTCTGTCTGGCTTCTGATACTGTAGGTAGAACTACTGCGACCTTTAGGTTCTGGTATTTCTGAAAGCTGGTTCATCGCACTCGGTAGGATGTTGGTCCAAAATTTCATCGCTTCTACCGGTGGCGCTCGAGGTTGTGGTGATTGGTCCAGATGGACCGGGGCCAGCACGTTGATGAACCTGTTATAGTGTGGATCATATCTGGCATCTGGATGATTGAAAGCGCCATGATACTCTGTTAGACGATTTGTTACAAAATCTACAGTGGGCGAACGGAGTTGAATCCTTG